TCAAGGAGACGTGGCAAGTGTCTTCTTAAGAATCACCGATATGAAAGTCCTCTTAGACGCAATGGAAGCATGTGTGGACCAATAAGCATGTCGCTAACAATTCCTGCCCAAACGTTAACTGAAAATCTTTGCTGGAAGCTGGATTCACTTTGACATAAGGTCATTAATTGAAACTTATTTTTGGCAATTATTTCGAAAATAAAACATTTGCGACCCCATGTTCATAGGAACATTTTTTTCTTATTTTTGATACTGGAACACGCACACAAAGTTTGTAAACATACTTTTGACTCACCCTGTATATATAATTTTAATACTAGAACGAACAGTGTAATATTTTATTTTGTCTGACTTTTATAATGGGTATCTTAAGTTTCTGAAGGGTCATACTCCATATCTTATATTTTAGGGGTGGGGGAGGGGTTCTCGCACCCTCCATGCCCTTAGGTTACACTGTCAGTGTTTGACATCACTAGGGCAGCATTGTGGCACACGAAATTATCAGCAAGCTTCCCTTGGCTGGCAAATCCACAGCGCTGCCTGTGAGACCCTTTCGTAAAGTCAAGTGACGGCTGGAAGACCCACCTAATCCTGTTTAGAATACAGGAACGCTTGGTAAGTTACTCAGTGAGGCATAATAGTTCATAACTGTATGAGATTTTAGGTTCTCATTGCATCACAATCCAGAAGATTCTAAATGGCTTTAGTTTCACTTTTCAAGAAGTTGGTATCATATTTTAATAAGCTCCGTTAAATTCTGTTATTTTAGTATTTATCAGGGAGTGGAGAAGTATACACGCAGACATAATATACGGGATAAAGATGTTTTACATACTGCATCCAGCATGACGTCAGACAAGTTTTTAACCCATTGCATCTCACTATTAGACATGAATCCATGCACAATGAACACCGTCTTGATGCGCCGAGGGTCGAAATCTGTTTCATTCAGGCTGAAATCTGTGTCGTGCTTCAGCTCTACCCTTTCTCGTTGTTTTCTGTAACAACAGTTCCAGAGTTATTGTTATTAATAAGACGTTAATAAATAAATAAATAAATAAACATTCATAAACACTAACGAAGCCATGTCAGGCTAAAACTTCCAAATTTTGTCTGTGCTGTTATGTTAATTTATTGAACAAGAATATAAATTCTATATCGTCACACTAGCCTCGATTTCTGACTCAACTTTTTCAACTACTGGTCATAACTTAATGTGCTCCGAAATTATAGTTTCGTCTTAGATAATTCTTACGCTAATGCGACCCCAGGTCATTGATGTGGTCTTCCAATAGTGACCTTAATTTATTACACTAATGCGATTCAAGATCCCATTCTTACGAAAAATGTTATGACACACCTAAAAGTGGATCTTAGGTAAATGAATTACAGGTAGCCTTCGATTTACGCCGGGGATACGTTCCTGGACGAACCGGCGTAAACGGAATCGGCGTAAATTGAAACTCTTTTATAATGGAAGTCAATGACATGCGTTCCCAGCACCCAAACATTGACGAGTAATTTAAAGTTCTGAAATAACATAAATAAAATAAAGGGAATTTAAAAAGTATATTTTATACACTTACAATCTGCAATTCGTTGGTCCCCGCGATTGATCTGTACAGTCATCTCTGCTGTCATGCGATAGTTGCATTCATGTAAGACGCCGACCTATAGAAAATCGCGTAATAAAAATAACCCCGGTACCTCCGCAGAGATTAAATTAGTCCTTTGAAAGTTTAAAGCGCCAGGAATGAAATTGCATAAGAGCAAACTCGAATATGCAAAAGTTTGCATTTCACAAACAGCTTTTACTGATTCATCGATCTCATTGGAGCAAATTTGCGTTAACAAAACATACGTAATTGCAGAGATGACTGTATTTATAATTTTTATTAAAAATCAGCGATGTAAGAATTACGATTTATTATAAGAATCAGTACGATATACATTCTTAAACGGTATAAATAATAGTATTTTTTATGTTCAGTGTTAGCCCTTTGATCAAAAACAGTCCTTCTGCTAGATGCGCATCAGCTGCTAATGTTGTCTGCAGGGATTTGGACATATTCGAGACGAAAATTGTCACACTTCTTCACATTCTATAATAGTATAATTTACTTAATTGATTTAAATTATTTTTACAAATATCCTAATATATTTAGTTGCAATTTTCTTGTGTATTTATGTCCTCCGTAACAATGTATTTTATATATTGCTTGTTTTATCTTTTATGCTTTTATTGTGTTCATGAGCTCATCTCTGTGCTGTATCTGTAATTGGCCATCAGGCTGTTGATACAGCACACAAATAATAATAAAGAATTGAATTTAAAATATATTTTTTCACTTTTTTATTTTCTAGTTTCAAAATCGGCGTTATTCTGAATCGGCGTAAATTGGACCGACGCAAATCGATGGCTACCTGTAGTAGGTAGTAATGAGGCTCCGGGCACCAAAAGGGACCTTTAAGAAGCATAATTTATTCTGTATGTTTCATGTAGAAGTAAGATTTAGGAGGCAACTTCGATAGGATTTAGGAAAACAGTTACTCAAATTGTACCACTTGAAAGGATTTATGAAACCGCCGTAGATATGTACTTGAATTATTTTTAAAAATCCAGAAACATTACGAAACATGCCCAATATATCGATCGATGTGTCAAGAAGGTCAAGAAACTTTGTAATGAGGCTTGAGCGAGGAAAGAACTGTCAAGTGGTACGATTTAGGCAACTTTCCTTTATTAAATTCTGAAAGGCATCCCTTCGCGTCTAATAATTTAAAAATGCTATTAAAATTTGGGTGTTATATTCATCTATGGTCTCAATCAAGTATTTCTGTTGGCTAGAAGAAACTGTGTTGTACCACAATGAAAAATCGCGGGATCTCATCCAACTTCTGTACACCAACTTAGGACACTCACCCCTCAGTCATTTTCTTTTTTACAGACAGAAATTTTTAAATTTTACACTCAGATTGCCGACATATTTAAAATGAAAATATACAAAACAATAATTTTACGTGTTGTTTTGTATGGGTGCGAAACATGGTCTCTCACTCTGAGGGAGGAACACAGATTGAAGGTGTTTGAGAATCGGGTGTTGAGGAGGATATTTGGGCCTAGGAGAGAAGACGATGGGACATGGAGAAAACTGCATAATGACGAGCTTAAAAATCTGTACTCCTCCCCCCCAATATTGTCAGGGTGATTAAGTCGAGAAGAATGAGATTGGCGGGGCATGTAGCGCGCATGGATGGGACAAGAGGTGAGCACCGGGTATTGGTTGGGAAGCCTGAGGGGAAGAGACCGCTGGGGAGACCTAGACGTAGATGGGAGAATAATGTCAGGCGGGATCTATGGGAGATAAGAGTTGAAGGAGACTGGATTTTGTGGGCCCAGGACAGGGACCGGTGGAGGGCTTTAAAAAATAGCTGTTTCACCATACAACTGAGTAAAAAACTGTAGACCTTTCGATAATATTTACTTAAGAATTTTTATACGAAGACTAGTTGCATGTGTTAGAAATATTTATTCATATTTACATTACAGAAAGCATGTAGTCACACATTCAGAGATCAATTCTAATGTGTTAAACCTATTTAAATTTTTATTATGTAATTGAGGCCAGTTTCCCCTACTTTTTTTTCGATGCGACCATTATCAGAAATGAGTATTACTTTCCTAAGTGAATATTTATCAATAAAAGTCTTGGCGATTATGGTCTTTCGGTCTTTTTATTTCAATGTGAAATTACATAAATGGATTTGAATGTATAAATATGGCACTACAAATGGAGTGCAAATCGCAGATAAGGATTTCCGACAACCATAATCAAGCAAACGAAGCAGTGCAAGCTGTCAGGATGTTCAGCGCGTAAACAAAGGATATTTCTAAGAATACAAACAACATAAACACCTAAAAGCGGAAGTACTTACCTAGTGGACAGGAAGTAGCGTGTGTTGACTGTCTCTTTTCGACTCGTTCTGAATAAGAAACGAAGTGCTTTAGAAATAGGCTCAGGCAAGCCGTAACAGTCCACAGTTTCCGGAATTTCACCTCTTGTCGTTAATTCTACTTCTTCTTCGTCTTCAAAAATAGTGTCGTCCAATTGGTCCACGTCCTCCAGAACTTCGTCCAGAAGACTGTGCCACATTGCAGTCTCCTTCCCATCGAGTGGGGCGTCTGGAAAATATGTAGATAGGCAGATATATGAATAGATATATTTTTATTTATATCAATATACGAGGTGCGATCGGAAAGTTTCAAGACTGTGTCAATAGAGGGCGAACCGGATGTAGTACGAGCTTCTGCCTTTAGGGGGTGCGGCCTACATTCATAGTGAATCAGTGTGCCAGCCGGCATAATCGAATTAGCATTTGTTTCTTAGTTACGGGCGTTTTGGTAGTGCATTACACCGACCCTCCTGCGATTTCGGAATGGCGTGTGCATCAAATTTGGCCAAAGACTCGCCAAAACGGCTACGGAAACCTATGAAATCCTAAAGCAAGCATTTGGGGAGTCCGCAAACTTTGGTGTGGCATTCACGTTTTAAAAATGACCGAACCTCTGTCGATGATG